CGTAGCAAAAGCAGTACGAATATAGATCTCCAAGTTCACCAGGACATCTGTCGTACTGCGGCACTTGCGGAAACCAAATTGAGAAGGGGAGAGGAGGTGATGGTGTTCCAGGAACCACATCAGACGAACGTTAACCATACGTTCAAAGAGTTTGCATACACAACTTGTGAGGGCAATAGGGCGAAAGTTCTTAGGGGAAGTACCCAGAGACCCCGGTTTGCGAACAGGGAGGACAACGGCATCGAGCCAGTCCTCAGGGACTGACGACGACTCCCAGATCCGATTATACAGACTCAGTAAATACTGAGACGTGCACGGAGGGAGATGGCGAAGCATCTCATAATGAATACCTTCGGAGCCCGCCGCCGTAGAACTGCAGAGGGCCAGGGCAGAACGAAGTTCAGAGAGAGAGAAGTGATCATTATAGGGAAGCTGAAGACGAGTGCAGAAATCTAAAGGACGAGACTCAAGGACAGGTTTACGAAGAAGGAAACATTGGGGAAGATGGAGACCAGAGCTAACAGAAGAAAAATGGGAACCCAGTTCGGAAGCGACCTGCAACGGGTCCGCCACAAGAGTATCATGGAGGTGAAGGACCGGTGAAACATCGGGAACGAACTTACCCGCTATCTTGTGGATACCCTTCCAGATCTGGGGCAGAGGAGTTTCGGACGTAATTGTTGAGACATAAGATGCCCAACATTCACGTTTAGCCGTACGGATGGCCCTACGGGCCACCGCACTCGCTTTCCGAAAGAAAAGAAAAGAATCGGCCGTCTGCCGACGGCGGTGCCTCATCCAGGCTGCACGCTTACAGCGGACAGCCCGGGCACAATCCGCATTCCACCAGGGAACGCACTTCCGCGGACCCCGAGAGGAAGAGCGAGGAATAGAGCGGAGGGCAGCGATGAAGACAGTGTCATGAAAGAGGAGGAGAGCGCGAGGGAGAGGCAGAAGGGAGAGGTCTGAGAGAGCAGCACTGAGGATAAATAGGTTCCAGTCCGCTTTAGCAAATTGCCACCTAGGAAAAAGAGAGAGAAGGGCGAAACGAGAAAAAGGAAACAAGGATAGGGAAATGATCACTGCCATGGAGGTCATCAAGAACCTGCCACGTGAAATCTAAGTAAAGAGAAGAAGAGCAGAGAGAAAGATCAAGACAGAAAAGGGTGCGAGTCCGAGAGTCCAAATGAGTGGGCTCACCAGAATTCAGAAGAGACAGGGAAGAAGAAAGGTGAAACGGCTCAAGAAGGCGACCCCGGGTATTCGTCAGAACGTCACCCCAAAGAGAATGAAAACAATTGAAGTCCCCCAGCAAGAGCACAGGCTCCGGCAAGGAGTCCAAGAGGCGTTTCAAATCAGGAAGAGAAAGCGGGACACTCGGGGGGAGATAAATGGAACAAACTGTGTACCATTTCCCCACAAAGATACGAGCAGCAGAACAATGGAGAGGCAAAGGAAAAAGTAAAGGAACAAAGGGAACATCAGCGCGAATCAAGAGAGCAGAAGAATTAGGAGCCCCAACAACGGCTGGGGGGGGGGGAGAGAAAGGAATAGCCACGAAAACGACCAGGACGAGCACCAAGCATAGGCTCCTGGAGACAGACACAAAGGGGCGAAAACCGCGAAATCAGAAGTTGGAATTCGAGGAAATTGGCATAATAACCTCGAACGTTCCATTGAAGAATAGACATCGACGAGAAGGGAAAGGACAACAACAGAGAACAAGGAAGAAACAAAGGCGAAAGAGCAACACAGCACGTTAAAGAATATCAGGGTCAGGATCAGGGTCAGCAAAGTCAGGGTTAGGGGGCATGGGTAAACTGAGCAAAGACGGAGGGAAGGAAGCGGGAGAACAGACCAGAGGTGGGCCATCGGGGTCCGGAGGAGGAGGAGGAAGAGGAGGAGACAACGGAGAGGAGCAGTCAAAGACAGCAGCAGGAAGAGGGGGAGTAGAAAGAGGGGAGAGCACCTCAGCAAGAGCAGCAACCGAAAGGGAAGCAGGGGCCAAAGAAACCTCCATAGCAGGAACAGGGGGCGCAATTACTGAAATGGGAGGGGAAGGAGCAACAGAGCCAGAAGTAGGGGCTGAGGAAGAAAGCGAAGCCTTCTTACCCGCAGGGGAGGAGGAAGGAGAGGAGCCAGGCTTACGCTTCTGACTTAAAGAGACCGGTGTCTCAGCAACTACGTACTGGGCAACGGATTCCAGTGTCTCAACAGGAGGAGCTGAACGAGAGCACACACGACGGCCGTTAGGAGAGCGATGGACATCCGCCTGCACCGACAGGCGGCGGGGAGAGCCGATAGATGGAGGAAGAGGATGGGAAGGAGGATCGGAGGGAGACGAGGAAGAAGACACAGGAGACATGACAGACCGGGTAGAAAGAAGGGGAACCCCAGACAGAGGACCAGGAGGGGGACCATTCGGGACAGAACGCAAAGGAACAGAGGAGGGGCAGTGGGCGCATCAGGGTCCAAGGCCCAGAAACGGTTGTGAGTCTGAGGAAGGAGGGAAGGACGAGGAGAGGAAGAGCGCAACACGCGAGCATAAGAAACGTTAGCATAAGGCGGGAGCCGGCGAACCTGGCGCCTCGCCGCAGGAAAAGATAAACGCTCCCGGTGCTTCAAGTTGAGGACGGCTGCCTCAAGCTTGTAATGGATACAGGCACGGGAGAAGGTAGGATGGGCCTCACCACAGTTGAGGCAGCGAGCTTGGGGAGAAGTGCACTCCGACTTAGAGTGACCTTCACCCCCACACAGAGGACAGAGAGAAAGACAGTCCCAGAGCAGCGGAGGGCACCATGCCACACCTCCAGCACTTGTTAGAAAGTCGAGGAGAAGGAATATACTCCTGGACAGAGCACCTAGCACCAGCAAGAATGACAGAGGATGGAAGGGTCCTACCATCAAAGGTGATCTTCACAACACGAAGGGGTTGACGGCGTCGACCACGAGGGGGACGAGTAAACGAGTCAACCTGGAGGACAGAATGGCCTTGGGCATCAAGGATATGCCGAATATCATCGTGGCAATCCTGCAGGTTCCGAACACCGGTTGCAACATTGGGTGGAAGGAGAATACTGCTAACACTGGCATTCATCCGAACGTTCTTGGAGACCCGAACAGGAATCTCGCCAAGGCAAGGTAAGGCAGCCAAGCAGGAAGCTGCATCCTGAGAAGGAGCAGCAACGACACGTGTACTGAGACGAGTGAGGTTGAAGGTAACAGACGCATCCACGGAATCTACAAGATGCCGGTGGAGGGAGAAATCGTCAGGAGGCGCAGAATCAAGAGGGAGGAGATCAAAGTATTTGGCCCATGAAGGCCAAACAAGGCCTGATACGCGTCAGTACGGGAAGGAATCAAGCGAGTGCGGCCAGGGCGCGAACGGCGTTGAGAACCCCCAGAGAGAGAGGGGTCAAAAGGCGCAGTAGTCACAACGAGAGACTTAGCCGCACCAGGGGACGAAGTGGTCACCACTGGGGGCTGGAGGTTCAACCCAACCACAGAGGAGGGACGGGAGCTGGGGGAAGAAGTCAGGATGGTCAAAGGAGGAGCAAGGTCGGGGCCCAACGCAGCGGAGGCTACAGAGCCCGGTCTTCCAAGACAGGCCGACTCGGGGGCTTGGTCGCCCACCCCATGAGCCCGAGAGGGTACATCAGAAACATTTAACGACATACAGACGAAGAGTGATAAATTCATTCACGAATGTGCCCCCATACCCACCATGGAGCCTCAATTAGAGGCAGGACACCCAACAGGAAGCTATCGTCGATCATGCCGGGGCCCCCTAGGGGTGCGTCGTGAGTATACGCCCCACAAACGCCACCTTAAGAACCGTCAGTCCGTCGAGATCGGGTTCAGCGGTAAAAGGGGGATTGACAATAAAAGGTTCCCCTCGCTCAAGACTTGGGAACAACAGTTCTACGGTGCAAGAGTATGCCTCCTCAAGCACCCGGGCGTCAAAATAGAAGAAGTCCAAAGAAATAATCCAAAACAAGCAAAAGGTCGGCAGGAAACGACAAGCAGATAGGAGAAGAGGGGGGAGAAAAAAAAACATAATGAAAAGGAAAAGCGATCTGGCACAATTAGAGAAGACAGCAACAGGAGTGCAAGGCCGTAAAAGGACAGAGGACTGTCCCACGGAGCATCACACTCCGGCAGCCATTCACGAAGCCGCCCTCACGACGGCAACGGGCCGGATGGGGAGGGGGCATAGTAGGCCAAGAAATGCATTCTGGCTATTAGGTACTAGGTAAAGGTAATGGAGTTCTTATTACTACAGCATAATGTGCTCCAGCTCCAGTTCTCATTACCCTCCAGCACTGATCAAATTGATTGTCTTATTGTTACATCAGACTAGTGTGATTCCCTCGTGCATTGTTATTATTATTATTATTATTATAATTATTATTATTATTATTAAAAAAATCCACTGGGGCTGTGAAGCGACGCGAACCTGTAACCAAGGCATTCCAGCCTCATACCCTACCATGGTACAACAACTGAAATCTCACGAAGTCTGGAGGCCCCTACTGAAGCCAACATGTTCTTTCCTATGACCCACAACCAACAAGGGGTCATACGTAAGTAGGGGCCTCCAGACCTCCTGTGATTTCAGTAAGATCAGCATAATAACTTAGCAATAATTCGTATGTCAATATCGTTTTATTTATTTAAATTCCTGCGAAGATGCAGCTAACGGTGTAAAAGTCCTTACTTATGGACATGGTCATTTTGAATTTCTACGCAAAGTCTGACGACTCTATTCCAAAAAGAACACGGCTTATATATGTTACTTCCCAGTTTATGAGTGTTTTTTGTAATAGAGAAATATTCCAACATGCCACTGCAGCAACCAGGTTCCAGTCTCATGACAGATCACCAGAGAGAGATGATTAGTTCTTACATTCATATTATACCGTTCTACCTGGCATTGTAATTAAATGGTCCAGTGGAGTGAGAATTTTGCGGTGTGATTAGCTCCTGTAATCACCTGACAGATGTCTGAGGAGGAGGTTACAGCGGCACTAGAAACAGCGCTGGAGTGTGGGTACCGACACTTCGACACAGCTGCTAACTACCGCAACGAGACCATCATTGGCCAGGTCCTGCGGCGGTGGATCTCTGAGGGAAAAGTTAAGCGGGAGGAACTCTTCATCACAACAAAGGTAGTATCACTGACAAACAACAATGGTCTTCATTTGAAAGTTAATGGCATTCTCCGTAGTCATTTTGTCAAGATTTATATGTAGTTTAACGGCATTATTTTTTTTTGAGCTTCCAATCATGTGAGAATTATATTAAAGTATTTTGTTCATCCGCGCATTACTATATCAACACTATTATTAATAGGTAGTTATTGCAATGAATTTGACTATTTCTCAAATTTATATTTGTTTTAAGTGAACGTCTTCGACAGAACTAGGCAACTAGGCGCAACTAGGGCAACTAGGCGTAACAATGTTTGTATTATTGCCGACTAAATTTTTTTGGAGAGTTTACTGAACAAACAATACAGAGAATGCTGAAGCAAATTATTCATATCACACCACACCATGTCACGTAGTGTGACATGACGTGATGTGACACGACATGATGTGACATGACGATGTGTGACTTCACGTGATGGGACTCAAGTGGTGAGTGACTTTTTTTTTTTTTTTTTTACATGCAAGCATGCAAGGGAAAAACAATAAATACAATAAAACAATAAATGAAATAGGACGCAACAAACAAAAAACCGCCGGCCAGAAGGACCGACAGCCCAGCACAACAATTAACAAAACCGGAGAAGGTAACAAAGGAGGCATGAGATACACACATCTAGACAAAACAGCAAATAATGTACAAACATACAAGCACGGCAAAGAAAACAATAACACATAGTAACATTATAAGGCATTTAGCAAGAAAAAACAAAAACAAGACAATCACACCGGCCGGAAGGACCGACAACAACGCACATTATGAACAACATGCAAAGACACAATCACAATATATAACAAACAAACAACACTTTAAGCATGAATATAACACATAGGGCAAAGAAATAACACAATAAATGAATACATGAAGAAAAACTCACACCAAACCACCTGCTATGGCCCCCCCAAAAAAAAGGGGAGGCACGGGCACAAACTACACAAGGGCAAACAAGCAGCCATAAGGGCACACAGGACAAGAGTAAACACAGAAGTCAGGAAATCAGGAGACATACTTGTTCGGAAATAAACTCCTAGGGAACCGGACATGAAACGCCTCCCAGAGCAACCACCGCCAAGGGTCGAGACCATCTACCAGGGACGCCATCTCATCCGGAACCCCGGCAACAAATATCCGCAAACAGGGGATCCAAATGGTATTATGCCGGAGGCGAGTGATTGGCACACGCTCCCACACGAAGACAGGCTCGTCACTAAAGTTCTGCGGCTCCTCGTACAATGGTAAAGCAGCAATCCTCCTCCAGTGACTCTGCGGCAACGCAGACTCCGGCAACACGTCCCCCAGGTGTCCAATGCACAGCCTCCGAGCGAGACCCGCACAGAGGGCACCACCACAGGGGCATCAGCAGCTACGGGCACACCGTCGGACGACAGCCGGGAATCCGATCGGCGTGGATCCTTCCGCAAAGTCACCACCAGGCTACGCCCAGCACCAGCATCCTGACCATCCCTGGCATCGGAAGCCACCTCCCCCTACCATGGAGAGCCCTCCGGTGGAGGAGCAGAAGGCGCACGTGCGACACAGCCACCGTCACCAGCAGGCACATGGACCTCCACCTCCTCTAACCGTGGAGCCAACTGCGCATTCGGACCCACACCGCCCACATCCGAGGATCCACAGTCACTAAAATCCCAAACATTGGCCCAGGCGGACGACGAACGCCTAGAACGTTTGGGCTCCAGCCGAAGATCGTCAGAGCCGGAAGCAGACCCAGAAACATGGGCACCACCAGCCGGACGAACCGACGCCCGACGCAGACCGGCAGCAGCCTCTACCACAGGGGGAACCTGACCACACACAGTAGGAGGCTCCGCAGCCACCCCAACACCCAGCACAGGAGGGACCCGAGGGGAAGACGCAGGGCCAGGTTCCACAGCCGAAGACGAGGAAGCAGACGGCGACGCTCCACAGGGATAACAAGGAAGGTCCATGGGAACGGCAGGGCCAGAAACATGGTCAGTAGGAACATCCGACGGCACCGCAACACCCGGAGGAGGGTCTGCGACAACCGGGGGAATGTCGGGTAATGCTGGGGGATCCTCAGCAGCGAACGGGACGCGCACCTCCTCTCCCCCGAAGTCCTCCTCCAGAGGGAGCGGCGGGAAATCCTCCTCACGGAACAAGTTCACAGGAGCAACTGGATCAGCAGTACACCCGGCAGCCTGATGCCCCAACAAGCCATACCGGAAGCAAGTGCGGGGTTGCCGGGCATAAAACACCCGCACGTAGTACCCCAACAGCCGGATAGAGGACGGAATGTCCGACCTCAGCCGCATCCCGAGGGTTCGAATGTTGGTCTTCACCCCGGAATATGTGCCAGACAATAGCGGGTTCATCCGCACACTGACGACGGAGCCGTACCTCTGGAAGAATCGCCGCAGGAGAACCTCAGGAAACTCCATGGGGGCGCCATGTACACTGACATAAGTTACAGCTCCACTACGGTCCGAAATAGTCACAGACCCTGCGCCGTCCTGCAGCTGCAAAGTACGTCCCTCGTACTTCCGGAGAAACACACGGTACACCGCCTCCCCCACAAACGTAATGACGACACGGCTAGCAGTTACCAGCTCTACACCATACACATCCTGTACCGGGACGCGAAGCATGTCACTCAAGACTAAGTCCACCAACGGGTAACCAGCACGGCAAGTAAACTCCAGTCCTATGGAGTTTAGCCGCACGACAGCCGGAATAGGGCCGCCCATCGCAAAACACGCCACGTCCCCACCACCAGGAACAGCAGCGAGGGTAGACACCCCCACACCCCCTGCTGGCGAAAATGACAACTACCACAAAATGCCGGAGCGGTCAAGCGACACGTCCTCACTCAACGGCAGCGCAGGTGGAACTCAGGTGAGTGACATTGCACAGAACTAAGATGTCCATTCAAACTATAAAACATTTACAAACATTCTCAGTAACTACCAAATAGACTTCCATAGTCCACATTTACATTGTTTATGTAACATAACCCTGATTCAAAATGGATAACCAGGGGATTTAGAACCTTATTGGAGAAAAGGTTATATGCCAATAAATTATTAATAGTGAAGTCTATTTAGAACAACAAATTGTCAAACTAGCAAGAAATGTTTTTAACAGAAAATGAACAGCTGAAATAAGTTTGGAAATACGTACAACAGAGCAGGCAGAGGTAAATTTCACAGACGTTTTCACATATATAAAACAAATATAGTTGTGGGAACTGGGAAATGGAAAAATGAGACAGGTCAGGTAATTAATTATAACAAAAAATGGATCGGATAATGATTAATTTATTTCGGTATTTACATGATAAGACCTTTATGTTATGGCAGGAGTTGAACAAACTTGTGAAGATGGTGAGGAAGACAAGTGGCCTAGTTTAGTGGCTATACCAGGTACAATGTTATTAAACAATTAGGACCAAATTAAGCCCAATACGTCTCCAGGCCAGACGAAATATTTGGCAGGATTTTTAAAAATTGCAAAAAGAGCCAAGTGAACCCTTGTCTTGCACATTAAATTAATAATTAATTAGAGGCGAGGAATCTTGTATAAAATATATTTCAGCATTTGACAGCGGAAATAGTAGTGACATTCTATATGTGAACTCTAACAAAGCCTTTAATGCTGGGCCTCACCATAACCTGATTTAGAAGTGCAAGGAATCGAGGAGAGGATTAGTTTCTTAAATTGATTCAGGTTACTTTACAAAAAGCAGAGTTAACATAAATGACCTCATTGGATGTATTCTACAAAATACTTGCTGACGAGGTACTAGGTCGACACGGGACTGAAACTTCACCAGTGCCATTCTAGCCAAAAAGTTTCAGTTGGATGTCTCGACCTGAGTAGTCTTGGTGGATGTGAACCAAGGGCTCCGAGTCTCGTCTGGGGTTTTTGAAAAAATTTTGTTCCTGCATTTAGTATTAATGCTGTGCCAAGAGACATCCCAAGTAATCTATCTGGAATTATTTTCAACTGGAGCTACAGATTATCAGACTCGCTGCGATAAACTGACGTTCTCGACATGTTTAATAATGACGCAAGACAGTCTATAACCAGTCATTATATTGCTGAGTAGTTACGCAAGGGATAGTAAAGTTAAATGTAGTCACCAGGAGCGAAGAGACAGTCAATAGTCGTCTGAGGAATCAGGTGAATCAATATGGCTCCGAATGTCATTACATTAGCTTAAGTGATAGTTGGCACTTAGCAAGCAAACACTTAACAATCACTTAATAGCCAGAAACATAGCAGGCAGGCATACATTAAGAGTCAGGCACTTTTAAGGAAAGCACTTATTAGGTAGGAACTTAGGACGTAGATACTTAGGTGGGTACTGAGGCAAATATTCCACTGCTGCCACCTGCGGTGATTAGGGGTACAGTGGTACCTGTACCGCTAGTGTCACCTGTTATGACCAGAGGTACAGTGGTACCTGTACCGCTAGTGTCACCTGTGATGACCAGAGGTACAGTGGTACCTCTACCGCTAGTGTCACCTGTGATGACCAGAGGTACAGTGGTACCTGTACCGCTAGTGTCACCTGTGATGACCAGGGGTACAGTGGTACCTGTACCGCTAGTGTCACCTGTGATGACCAGGGGTACAGTGGTACCTGTACCGCTAGTGTCACCTGTGATGACAAGAGGTACAGTGGTACCTGTACCGCTAGTGTCACCTGTGATGACCAGGGGTGCAGTGGTACCTGTACCTCTAGTGTCACCTGTGATGACCAGGGGTACAGCGGTACCTGTACCTCGAGTGTCACCTGTGATGACCAGGGGTACAGTGGTACCTGTACCTCTAGTGTCACTCGTGATGACCAGGGGTACTGTGGTATCTGTACCTCTAGTGTCACCTGTGGTGACCAGAGGTACAGTGGTACCTGTACCTCTAGTGTCACCTGTGATGACCAGGGGTACAGTGGTACCTGTACCTCTAGTGTCACCTGTGA